AAATCCTGGCATTTTTTTCACACTGCACATTTTTAAATTTGGTATACATCTTTTTTCTTTTTCTTTTTTTTACTTGTAGATGAAAATATAGTATCTTTATTTTTGTGTGGTACTGAGGATCGAACCCAGTGCCTCACACATGGGAGGCAAGTCCTTTACCACTGAGCTACAGCCCCAGCCCCATACATCTTATCTTGTTTTTTTGCAATGTTTTAAATATTTTCTCCAAACTTCCAAATTTTAGAACTACAGCTTATTTTAGAATTTAGTAATTTGTACTGAAAGGCTCAAAAAAAGATAAGGCTACTTGTTCAAGCCCCAGTTTTCACCATCTATGATTTAAACACAAATTGACTTGAAGGAGGGAAGAACTGACCAAAGAAACTATATGAAATAAAAATATGAAAGCTGTCTTTTGTTTGGCTTTAGAGATAATTTAATGTAGCATGTCTTATGAAATAGAATAATTTGTATAGTGTTGGTACCACCTATGTTGTAGAGTCATTTTGAAACTAATTCAAACTGTTGCAGTTTTTTTGGTGGTTCTTGGTTGTTTTTGTTTTTGTTTTTTTTGAAAGGTATTGAATATTTTAAATGTTGACATAAGAAAACAAAAATCATTAGAGGTTTCAAACCAGAAATGAAAAAGCTTCTGATGTAAATTATTGCATTGTATTGGCTGGAAAAACATACAAAAAAGCTAAGAAATTTAAGAGGTATAGTGCATGTTGCTAATCATCTGCTAGATGATAAGAAATAATTATAGTAGTTCCTTTTTTGTACCTTACAGCAACTTGTCATATTAAAGATTTGTGTGCAGATGTGAACTCTGAATCTCTTATGTGGAAGTGTACTTGCACTTTACGATGTATAAACATGGCTAAGCTTGTTATTTTACTTGTATTTGCTCGGCATCAGGTAATCAAAGATAACCTTTATATGGAAGTGTGGTAATAAACACTACATGTCCTAAAATAGTCCAAGTGTGGAATTACTTTTTAAATCTCATGCTTTATCCTGAACAATTATCTGTTGACATTTGCACTAATGGTGGGAAAGCAACAGTGAGTAAAACTGTGGGCACAAATTAAGGCAATTACATAAAACTGGTAGTCAGTCCTTCATTGCCATGCATCACTAAAATAAAACCAAAAGGATTAAAAAGCCACTTTCTCTAGGTATGGTGGCATAGCCTGTACTATCAACAGTTTAGGAGTTTGAGGCTAGCCTGGGCAACTTAGCAAGACCCTGTCTCAAAAGAACTAGAGACATAGACCCCCCCTGTGTCTTCCCTCCCCAGAAGCCAATTTTCACATGAAAACAATAAAATTATTTTGTTAAATGTGGACTCCACTACTGGGGATTGATCCCAGGGGAGGCCCACATATGCTAGGCAAGTGGTCTTATGATGAGTTATATAACAGCCCTTTTTAAAATTTTCTTTTCAAGATTGGTCCTAACAAAGTTGGGCCTTGAATCTTCTTACCTCTGAAGCCCAAATAGCTGGGATTATAGGTGTGTACCACTGTGACCAGTATAATTTGTTGGTATGAATGAGGGAATGTAAAGTTTGCATAAAGTACTTTGTACAGTGGTTGTCACTACTCATGCAATAGTGTTGCAAGCTGAATGTTTTACTTGGAGCGCCATTTTTTACTTGAAAGAATGACAAGTGTTATTTGTAGTTTGCTACTGTGAAGAAGTGAGCCTGTTCAGGAAACAACAGCAATTAAAATCAAACTTTGAAGTGAAAATCAGAATTTTGAGAAAACTTGTCTCTACTCTCAGCATGACAGTTGGGCTTTTATATGCTGATACTTGAAGACATTAGGTACTATATAGTGAAACGGGCCAACTTCTGGGAGTTTCCATAATTCAGCCTGTATTTTCCAGCTAACCAATACAAAAATAACAAAATGGCAATGTCTCAATCAGTTGAATGCAGAAGATAAAAATCCAGCTGCTTTCCATTAAGCCAGACCTAAGAAACTTAGTTACAAAAAATGTAAAACAATGCCACTCTTCTAATTACTTTTGAAAATAGTTACTGCCATGAAAATCAATGCTATAATATTTAAATTTTTTTTAATTTCTAATGGTAAAATATGGGTTAAGAAAGCTATTGAGGCCCTCAATTTTTAAGAATATGGAAGGATCCTGCCTGAGACCACACAAGATTGAAAAGTGGCTGTCCTAGCCTGTAATACACATGGTAAACAGATGCATGGATGACTGTGTTAAGGGCATGCTAGGACAAGGAGCAGGTTTCTGAGAAAAGTGTATTTTGGGACGGGATGTACAAGGCTAATAGGCAGTTACAAATTAAGAATTCAGGGCTTGAGAAAAACTAAGCACCTTTATCCTTCCTAGTAAAAAACTGGTTCTACTATAAATCTGTCATTGAGTAACTTGTAACTTCACAACTGATTAGCAAACATGTTAACCCCGGGACAAAAGGGTAAGGGGTAATATGGTAGGCCTATTATGAAGCATCTGACATTTTTTCACATTGCACATTTTAAAATTTGATATACAGACATGTTCTTGGGTGTTTATTCTGAACTTGTTTTAACCTACCAAGGGGCAATAATTAAATTTACGCCCCCCCCCCTCAGTTGTCACACTTTGACTATATCCCCACTGACCTTCATGCAGGACACCTCACTTGAATGTGGAAAAGGCTATGCTGAGAATGGGTAAATAATTTTCCCTTTTTTATGCCTATGTCACTAATGAATATTATGTACTCACAGGCTTTATTATACTTTTGGTACTTAATAAACCTTTCATAATAGTTCCCCTTTTCTGTCTTCAATTTATCTTTTGATCCCTGCAGTGCAGGCCTGAGCTCATATCTGAAATTTACAGGCTAAGTCCTCAGTTTTTGCAGTTTGCTCAAAGTCTTTTTATAGGTGGTTGTTCCCTTTTTTTGCCGATGGGGGTGGTGGTGTTAACCAGGGATTGGACTTTGGGCACTTGACCACTGAGTCACATCCTCGGCCCCGTTTTATTTAGAGACGGTCTCACTGAGTTGCTTAGTGCCTCACCATAGCTGAGGCTGGCTGTGAACTCTCATCTTAGCCTACTGAGATGCTGGGATTACAGCCATGCGCCACTGTGCCCAGCAGTTGTTCCCTTTTTAACCACTCTAGTACACTGTCAAATCTCCAGAGATAACCATCCTCATTAGATTTGTAAAATCTTTCTCAATGTTTACATTGTTTTTTACCCTCAAATAATATTGGCTTATTCCCAATAATGTAATATCTGGTGTCTGACTCACTTCATTTTCAGGTTATTATAGATTTCCTTTCCCATCTCTTCACATTCCCATGGTCCCTTTCATTTTTCTCTTAAACAACTATTAAGTAGGTAGCAGTATCATCAATTCTGGGCTTTTGGGATCCTCAGTCCATTCCCTATTCTGGTCACCCTATAACAAAACACTAGGGAAGAAGGTGACATTATTGCCTACATATATTTGCACCACCTTGAAAAAGTCTGGCCATGGCTTTACTACAGTATTTAACAGAATTAAAGCTATGAGGCCCATGCCTGTAATCTGAGCAGCTGGGGAGGCAAAGCCAGCCTTAGTAAAAGCGAGGAGCAACTCAATGAGACCCTGTCTCCAAATAAAATAGGGCTGGGATGTGGCTCAGTGGTTGAGTACCCAAGTTCAATCCCCAGTACCCAAAAAAAAAAAAAAAGCTATGATGAATCAAACACAAAGCTGATATATTTACTTTATGCTAATATGCAGAAATATTATTTGTTGAGCAAATATTAAATGCCCACTCTGTGGCAGGTACTTGGTAAACAGTGGTGAAAACAGTCCTTGTACCTTCTGGTTCTGTGGACTGCTGCTGACCAGCTTAGTTTGAAATTTAAATGGTGTGTCACAGGTGAAAAGTTGTTAATGTTCAACCCTTTTATAATGCAGCTATGAAATGGTAAAAATGCCAGTGTGGGATATAAAACCTTTATAAAAATGTCTTACTTCCAATTCAAGAACAAACAATGAACACAGTTCTCTCGAAGAATACTGTCCTTTTATTCTAAATGGAGACATCAAAAGGGAATAGTATTATCACATTACTAAAATGACACTGAAAATATAAGCTGAATGCAGCCAGATATTTCAAAATAAACTGGGCACTGTAAAAGAATTCCACATAAAACCTCAATTACTTTTTATCCCAGGGAAGCACCATTTTACTAGGACTGACTATTGAGGTTCACTTTCCACAAAACTCAGGAAGAACTTCCTGTGAGTTGAAAAGCAACTAAATGTGAAAAATAATCCACGAGGAAATAACAAACTTAGATGGCCCATAAATTAAGTTTTCATTTGAACATAGACTAATTTTTTTCTCTCAACAAAAAAAGTACTGAAGACATGTTTATGGTTGCCTTGAAAAACAACAGACTTGTAAACTGATTTGGCTTGTAGGTCCCACACCTCAGCTATCTATGTTTCTGGTACTGTTAAAAAAAAAAAAAAAAAAAAAAAACAGTAAAGTGTCTTTGCAAACCCTTTCATAAATTCTCCCCCTCTGTTTTAGTTCTGTATATTAATCTGGATAACATGCATACTTTAATTTTTAAGGCAGATGGTAAATTTTCCTATAGGTCTACTCCATCTTGTCATGGGGCAAATACTATTCACAAAATGTAATAGTGCTTCATTTTTCTGAGTTTCAGGTAAAGAGTACTGAGCTACTAAATAGCAAAGCTGCATAGGTAGAAAGATGTAGCTTAAGACACTATTTTAAGATTACTATGTTCTCTGCCTTTGGGCCAAGGTGGCTTTCCACTTGACACAACAAAAATAAAACATTCTAAAACCTAGATCCTAGAGTACCTTGGTAGGCTTTTCCCTAATCATCTTTAAAGCAGTGTAAGAAAAATACTAATTGCACAGCTACCCTTTTCAAAATATCCCCAAGGAATATGTTTTCTTTTAAAGTTATATTACATTACTTTGTATTTTGCTAACCAAGGAGAAGAGCTTTCGACTTGTTTAAATAGTAGACTGCACTTTTGTTAATAACTATTTTTCTCTAAAGTTCTTCATGCTGACATTCCCAGTGTTGAAAAGTATAATACTCTTAATCATCTTCATCCTATGCATTACCAAGGAGTTCCTCTCTCTCCATCTTGTTCCACAGGATGAACAAAAGCTTGGGGTGTACGTTTCAGAAGATAAACTGCAGCATGAAGACCCCCAATATTCACCCAGACTGTATGCACTTTTCGCCATAAGTGTCCCATTCCAGATAATGCCTGTGTGCACACAAAAAACATAAAATAATCAGGCTGACAATCTGCTTCTAAAGTAACCAGGGATCTTAGTTGCCAATTAAGAAACACTAGTGAAAGAGAAAACATCCTACTCAAACTAATATGCCAGGTTTACTTTAAGATCCTAAAGTTGCCATAGGCACCTTGGTAAAGCATTTCTTGTCCTGAGTAAGTAGAACAGCTCGGCCTGTCCCGGGTCTACAGACACGGCTCATCTCTCGAAGGCAAGCTGGATAAAGATTCCAGTTTCTCTTCTTGGAGCCCATCCTATAATAGAAAGTGTGATAAGCCAACCATTTACTATTGCAAAAGATAAATATCTAAGACTTTGAACAAAATTTCATGCATACTGAAGGATGATAGTTGCCTTTTAGAAGATAGAGCTTTGCCATTATATGGCAGTGAAATGAAAATAGATAACTTAGAATTGTACATATTTTTTTTTTTTTAAAGAGAGAGAGAGAGAGAGAATTTTCAATATTTATTTCTCAGTTTTCGGCGGACATAACATCTTTGTATGTGGTGCTGAGGATCAAACCCGGGCCGCACGCATGCCAGGCGAGCGCGCTACCATTTGAGCCACATCCCCAGCCCTGTACATATTTTTTAACAGAAAAAAAAGTGACAACTTGTCCTCTTAATTGATATATTAAGCAAACTATATAAACCAAACTAGTGGTTACAAATCGTTTTTCCTGAGGGACAATCAGAATCAAGTCTTCCTCATCCTTTTAATATGAAGTATGATTATGTAATTCAACAGGAAGTAAATTATAGGTAATTTTAAAAAATGAGTCTCCTGTGATGGGCAGTATCAAAATGTAGTTAATATATATTCGTGAATTCTCAGAAGAAACAAAATGGGTGTGTCATCATATTAAAAGTATTCAGTTAGAAAAATGGCTCCTCTAAGTCTTAAAAGGAACTGAAAATTTATATTCTGACTTAGAATAAGCTCAAGTTGAAATTTAGAAGACAAATGAGGACTAGAAAAAAATGGTGAAATAAAACAAGCAAGAGCAAGAGCTCTACCACTGAGCTACATCCTTAATCCTTTAAATCTTATTTTTGAGACTGTGTCTCACTATGTCACCCCCAGGCTGGCCTTGAATTTGGGATTTTCCTGCTTCGTTTCCCGCTCTCCTCATAGCTGGGATTACAGACATGCACTGCCAAGCCTGGCAAAAGTTGTTACCTTTTTCCAAATGGCATATCTGTTACAATAATGTCCACAGAACCAGTTCTCAATGGAAGATTGCAAATGTCCCACTGCACAGCATCAATGGGCAAACCCCAGGATGGTTTGCTGTGGAGACAAAGGAAGGAATATAGGTGCTTTAATATGCTTTAACATATTCTGAAGTAATGAAATATTTAAAAATAATTTTCTTTAAAAGAGACTTCATAGCAAAGTATAAAATATTAAGAATAACAATGAGAACATCAATAATCTTAAATGTAGGAAGAAAGCATTTGGTCATAAGATAAAACTATTATAAAGACTGAAAGGGAAAATATACAAGTAAATTTAAAAAATGGTTAAGACTGATCAAAAGATGTCGACATCTGTTTCATATACAATTCAAGAAAACAGATTGGGGAAAATGAGCTTGTCACAAAGAACTTCAAGAGACAAATTTACAGCATTGAAAGCAGTAAATTACATAACTTGTATAGTTATTAATGAAACAGATAAACTGGGAAAAAAATTACCACTAGAAAGATTATGAGTTAACATCTGAAGAATAAAGTATGATAAATCTAGTAGTATTAGACATAAATATAAAATTGGTACATAAATAGAAAATAAGTAATCATGTAATTATTTTAATATTAAACAAGAAGAAATGTATGCATCATGCTGTATTTTATTTTATTTTATTTTTTTGAGTGAGAGAATTTTTTAATATTTATTTTTTAGTTTTCGGCGGACACAACATCTTTGTTTTTATGTGGTTCTGAGGATCGAACCCGGGCCGCACGCAGCCAGGTGAGAACGCTACCACTTGAGCCACATCCCCAGCCCCTCATGCTGTATTTTAAAAAACCAAAGAAGAGGGCTGAGGATGTGGCTCAAGCAGTAGCGCGCTCGCCTGGCATGTGTGCAGCCCGGGTTCGATCCTCAGCACCACATACCAACAAAGATGTTGTGTCTGCCGAGAACTAAAAAATAAATATTAAAAATTAAAAAAAAAAAAAACCAAAGAAGAAAAGTAAGACTGAAAACATGATGGAAGCCAGAATGAATATCACAATAAATATAAAAGATTTAAAGCTTCCCCATTAAGATAAAGTAAACTTTTAAGAAACTAATAGGCAATAATGCACAGGCTAAAAACTAAAGCAAATCAAAGATTATGAGCAGAAATTGAGGGTTTTAATACTGAATAAGAACAATTTTACAAAAATTCAATAAAGGCAAACCTACATAATGAAAAAAGAGTTATTGAAAATATGTGTTATAACCAAAAGATTGTAAAAGTTAAGATAATTAATAAAATGCATAGGCTAAATCAACAAAAAGTCAAAGTCCAGAGAACCTGAACAATAAAATATTCAGAAACTTGAAGAAAAATAATTTGTTTAAAATGTTAATCAGTCTGGAAAAAAATTGATATGCTTAAGCCTCAAAACCTAATATGAAAAAAAAGTGTACCATAAGAATCCATTCATCATAATAAGAGAGTTTTAAGAAACCTGTGTATATAAAATGATCTAAACTTGCTACTTCAAAGTTGGTACACAGATGAGTAGCATAAGCATCACCCAGGAGCTTGCTAGAAAAGAATCTCAGGTCTCATTTCACATTTGCTGAATCTGAATGTTAACAGGATCCTCAAGTAATTCATATATATATTAATGTTTGAAAAGTACTGTCCTAAATGACTTGGGAGACAAGTGCATCACCAAAGATTTGGAAAGTAAAAAAAATAATTATAAAACTATAGGATATGGTTAACATTAGCTATCAGAATAAAACTAGCTTGAATAAAACCTTTCATAATTAAAAAAGATTAATAGTACATAATGTACAACTTGGGGAAAACAAAAACTGTAAATGTGAAATAGGGATTAAAAAACAAGCACTTGTGGCTCAAGCGGTAGTGCGCTCGTCTGGCATGCGTGCGGCCCGGGTTCGATCCTCAGCACTACATACAAAGATGTTGTGTCCGCCGAAAACTAAAAAATAAATATTAAAAAAAAATTCTCTCTCTCTTTAAAAAGAAAAAAGAAACAACAAGCACTAGGGGCTGTGGCTATAGCTCAGTGGCTGAGTGCCTGCCTAGCACGTGCGAGGCATTAAAAAATAAACAAATAAAATAAAGACACGATGTCCATCTACAACTCCCCTGCCCCCCCCCCAAAAAAAAACCCAAGCACTAGCATAAAACCAAAGAACAACTGAGGATATAGCTCAGTGGGAGAGAGCTAGTCTAGCCTAAGCTCCTGGGTTCTGGCCCCAGGACCAAAAATGTTAAAAATAAATAAAGGGGGCTGGGGATGTGGCTCAAGCGGTAGCGCGCTCGCCTGGCATGCGTGCGGCCCGGGTTCCATCCTCAGCACCACATACAAACAAAGATGTTGTCTCTGCCGAGAACTAAAAAATAAATATTAAAAAGAAAATTCTCTCTCTCTCCATCTCTCACTCTCTCTTTTAAAAAAAAATATAGAAAGAAAAAAAGAAAACCAAAGAACAAATAGTGTATGAAAGAACAAAAGACTAGCAAGCTTTATCAGGGGGAAAAAAAATCAGACAAGGAAATAATCAACATATAGATATAAAATAGTATCAGACTTATACCATGTACAGTACTAATTAGGAATATCTATATAAAATGACTATATTTAAAAAACATTGATTTCTACTTAGAAATATAAACCTTACACTATTAATGGAGGCAGCTGTTTCTGAAGGCAAATTGTGGGATATAATGACTTCCTGTGTGATATATTCAGGATGTGGAGCATCTGTAAGACTTAACAAATCAGCTGACCATTCATTACCTTCTGCAGTTTTACCAAAGAATGAAGGACATTCACAGAAGGGACCAGAGAAGCAGACTTATGATGAGGCCTCTGGTAAGAAACTATAGGCCAAGTGAGTGATTATTACAACTAATTCTTCCCAACTCACCTAAGACTTTCAAAAGATGATGAAAAGCTGACACAGATGGTATCAAATGGAATTTGGAGTAGTAGACTAGGGYCTAAGATACTTAAACTACATACATCTCAAAGGATAACAGACAAATTTTCCCAAAGGCAAATAGACTTCCAAACCAAGAATATCAAAGGCATGGTTTAGTAAGAAGCCGTTTACAAAGAACCAAATGTGATCTTAGATCTCTTAGCCTTAAGAACAGTGAGGAATACACATGTTAAGAAAGGGAGGAAAAGGTATATGGTTGAAGGGCCTAAGAATGTTTTGCTAAAGGAAGAGAGGATTTTGGGGGGTGGGCTATAGCCCTTCATATATCTGATTTCTGTCATGATGTGACATTGAGATAATTTTTTCTTGATGGACTCAAGTGGGAGAATAAAAGCAAATCTGTGAAAGGTATACAGGGAAACGTTCACTAAAAGAAATGACTAGTACTTGGCCGTGCAATACAAAATAAACAGCCTTCAGGGGCAGAGTGATTAGAGGTATTTAAGCAGGATAGAGGGCCACTGGTCAGAATCTCCTATAGAACATTTAGAAATCATGGGGATGAGATCCAGGAATGGTAGTACATGTCTATAATCCCAGTGTCTTGGGAGGCTGAGGCATGAGGATCACAAGTTAAAAGCCAGCCTCAGCAATTTAGTGAGGCCCTAAGCAACTTAGGGAGATCCTATCTCAAAATAAAACAAAAAGAGCTGGGGATATGGCTCAGTGGTTAAGTACCCCTGGATTCAGTCCCTGGTACCAAAAAAAAAAAGGTCAGTCATAGAAATCATGGGGATGATTTTCAGGTCTTTTTACAACTCAGATTCTCTGAAGTCCCAAATAATAGAGATAGGCTAAATTGTAATAATGAAATATTATGCAGTCATTTAAAATAGACTGTAAAAACACATGTATTTAAAAACTTGAGAAAATGAAATGAATCTATACAGTAGTCTTTGAGAAAATAGATGTATGAACAAGGAAAGAAAAAGGAAGACAGACATAAAAGGTTAGAAAATGGCAAGGTTACAATCCATTGCAGGAATTCATAATTCATTATGAAAAGTAATTTCCTAGATGCTACAAAATCTTGTAAATTAAAATTTTACCCATCTTTCATCTGGCTCTTGGTGAGTAAAGATGAGATGTTATTTGCTGCTCTTTTCACAGCCAGGGGATTATTATCACCAGCAATATGATAACAGTCAGTCCATTCCATTGCCCCCTAAAAAGACAAGAGTGTATTTTAAACTAGAAGTAACAAACACATGCACACATACACACACACACACACACACACACACACACACAAATATCAAAGGGGAAATTATTTTAGTCATTGTCAATAAACAAGACAATCCAACCCAGTGCTTTTCTGAAGTGGCAAAACAAAGCTTGTTGTCAATTTTGCTGTTCCTTTGCTAGAAATGCCTCCTGTTCTTTCTTTGCTTGCTGAACTCCTATTCATCTTTTAAGACCCAGTTCAAATGTCACACCCTCTAATATCAACCCCAACTTCCCAACTATCTTCTCAAGCACCCCTTCAAAAGCACGCGTACATACCTCTACCACAGTGCTTGTTTCATTTCGAATTGTTCATATCTGTCTGCCTCCCAACTAAACTTGTAAATCCCTAGGACAGAACTAGTGTTTTATTCAATCCCTCAATCAGCAGTATCAGGTAAACAGAAGGCATTATAGTCCCTGAATAAATATGGTGTAAAAAAAATTGTCCAAACAGAACTGACCAAACCCATAACCATTTTGGATTGTGGGAGTTAATCTTATCTATTCAAACTTTTAACAGTTTCAAAATAAAGTGCCATTATCAAAGCAAGATAGCTTCTGAATGATAATCACTCTATCACTGAAAGGATTTTGTAATTTTAAAATTACAGCAGAACATGGTATTTATATACCAAGCTGTCACATATCATTTGTGGAATGAGGTGATATACTATCCTAGGCTGAGGCTGAACAATGTTTCTACGCAAATTAACAGAACATGAAATCAGAGAGTAACGAACACTATATCCTTTGTGAATGGAAACACACCTCCCCTCCATGAATACAGTACTTCATAACTTTATTTTGCCTAGACATTTTGGAGTAATGACAACTCCAGTCTGTAATCTTACAATGACTTGAAACAAAAGGGATGTTAAAGTATGCCAGAATTTGGGTGGGCAGGGAGGTAGAAGGAACCTACAGTGTCTAAAACGTCTTTCACATGATTCTGACTACCCCATATATTTTGAAAAAAGTGAATCTGGATTTTCTACTTCAGAAGAAGATGCATTTTATAGTACTTCCAAGTTTTAAAGCAAATATTCTACATAAACAAATCTGCATTTATACTTTGTGAATCCTTTTACAATTTTCACTTTGATCATACCTCAGCTTAGGTTTTCCTACCTTGTACCTTGGTACCTTATGTCTACATGGAAGTGGCTCAAAAAAATTCTTTGCTTTCATTTTGATTCTGTTCTTTAGCTCTATGGTACATTTCTTGATATAGTAGCCTTACCTGATATTTTACAGACATCATGGTTTAACACTGTAGAACACCACTGTGTCTTGTTTCAGATTTTTTTTTTTTTTTTTTTTTTTTTGGTGGTATTGGGAACTGAACCCAGAGGTGCTCTACCACTGAGCTAGCTAGTTCTTTTTATTTATTTATTTATTTTTAATATTGCTGAATTGCTGAGGTGGGCCTTGAACTTGATTCTCCTGTTTCAGCCTCCCAAGTAGCTGGTATTATAGGCAGGCATGTGCTATCACGCCTGGCTCCCAAATTATTCTTGGGTTTTTCTCTATGCAGGTCTCAAGAGTAATTTCTCTAGCTGTTATTAGCAGAGCATATAGTCACTACTATGATTTCCTTCCTGGATTTTAACTCCCAAATCATGGATATATAATTTTCTAATTACGGTCTGGATTATTTTTCTCTTTGTGGGTTGCTTTGAACTTAATTATCTGTCCAGTTTCTGCCTATTCATTGAATCTATGGGATCTTCCTGCAGTTTTACCGGCTGCCTTTTGATATACTATATGGAAGAATTTATTATGTTTCACACAGGTTAAATTATTTTACTGTGAGCTTCCTTTTCTAAATCTTATCTTTTTTTTTTTTTTTTTTTTTTTGGTAGATGGACAGAATGCCTTTATTTTATTTGTTTATTTATTTATTTTATTTTTTTAATGCAGTGCTGAGGATCGAATCCAGTGCCTCACATATGCTAGGCAAGCACTCTACCACTGAGCCACAGCCACAGTCCATCTAAATCTTTTCTAAATGCATACATGATATTGATTCATTGAAACTCTGTTAAATGTTTTCTACTTAGAAAATACCTTTTCATTTCTTGCTTTGCCTTATGTGGATTTTATGTATCTTCTCAACATCACAGTAACTGTGAAAGCTATTTAAGAGCATTTGGTATGCAGCCTTGTCAGCCTTCCCAGAAAAATCCAAATAATGCTTATAGATACCGCTGCTTCCCATGCTCCCCACAGCACTTGGGCTGGAACCCAGGGAATTGTGCATTCTAGGCAAGTGCTCTACCACTGAGCTACATCCCAGTAGATCTCCCTTTTAAACACTATACTTATTCACTCCAGGAACATAAATAGATTAAAAGAAGAATCTTACTATGTAGAGATGAAAAATGCTTTCCTCCACTTTATGCTTATGCCTTCAACGATCTTTTCGTGTGCAATCTACTGGATTATTTATTACAGAAAGGGCGCTCACCATCTTATAATTCTCAGCCTTCTCTGTAATCCAGTCAGTAGATATCACTACCTGGTCTCTTGGTCCTTGGATACTTTAAATAACATTCTGGACAGATTGCATGCTCATCTAAAAACTAAAGAAAAGTTATTACCTCTATTGGTATTGCCCCTGTTCCACACATTGGATCAATTATTATATCAGTAGGTTGAGGTGCACAAAGCCTGGAGAATAAAAACACAAAACACAGCCTATGAGAAGAGGCTCAACCAAAAGGTAAGGCTTCTACAATGATTCCTAAAGCTAAAAGATTAAGGACCTATCACAGTAGCTTGAAGGAACACCAATCTACATTAAGTTTCTCTTCCATTCTCTTGTCCTTCTAATCTTTTTATATTCTGTGACATTACTTACTTCATGCATGGTAATTATATCCCTCCTAAGATAGCTTCTTGGGTGCAGCTCTACCTTCTTGTTCCTATGCCTCAACATATTGGAACAGAGTCTTTGGCAGACCCATTGCTGATGAACTACGTCACTCACATCCTCTCTTCCAAGAATTTGGAATAAAGAGTAAGAAGCCCTCAGTAATACAGGCTGGTCATTTGAAATGGGAAATATATATATTTATATGAGGGAGCAGCAATGTGCCCAGATGAGCAGAGTCAAGAGTCCACAGGCTCTCAGGAGAGATAAAAGCAGCTGCCTAGGTTTCTGGGGGTTTTCCATAATCTAGTTTCTATTCTTAAGACATGGCTTTCTGGTTTTTTGTTTGTCTTTTGTTTTGGGGTGGATTCTACATGACTTCTTATAACAGCCTATCCCCTGATATAATCATCACTTTATTTATTCTAAAGTAGTTTACTTAAGTTCATAATATTTGCACCCAAAATAACTCTCTGTACCCCTGGCTCCTACAATAATACCTGGTGGTAGATAATGTCTGTTAAATGAATGAAGGTTAGGAACTCTTCCTTAATCAGATGGACCCAGTTTTCTATTATTGTCATTGAACTGATATGTTCCAACTGTGCTGAAATATGAGGAGCAGAATAAAAGAGGAAGCAAAGATTGGAAGGACATAGTCATTTAACCACTAGGACATGTAAGGCACTGCATATAATAGGTATCTTGAGGGCTGGGAACATAGTTAAGTGGTAGAGGGCTTGCCTAGCATGCACTGGGTTAGATCTTCAGCACTGCAAAAAAACAAAACTTGTTTTCTCTCTCTCTCTCTCTCTCACACACACACACACACACACACACATACACAATGATATCTTGAATATGTTTCTGCATTTAATCTTCATTAATAATCCTTCGAAAAGTCTCCACATTAAACCCATTTTGTAGTTTCAAAATCAGAAGTTTGGAAAAGATAAATGTCTGAGTGGTGGAAGGAAGCACTCAATAAAAGGAAAATGGCCAAGGAAAGGGAAAACTAGGTCTTGCACTCTGAAAACTGGAAAATTCCAGGATGATTCCTGGATTGCTGTTCAGTGTAACATTTAAAAATATGAATAAAATTTCTAGATTCAGTTACACATTATGCACATTCTAAAAATCTTTGCTTTCATCTGCTTTACTGCACATAAATGAAATAACAAAATCTGCTCTATCTCCCAACATACAGTATATCCTTTCTAAACAGAAATGTAACTGTGCCATTCAAGAGGCAGATGAAAACTAATCACCCTAATTTAACAATCAAGAAAACTGAGAAACTGATTAAATGATATTTTTAATATTACAAGGAGTCAATACTAGATATTAAGGAAGGAAACAGATTATTAGTTTTTTTAATCCTTTTCATTATCCACTAAATTCCAACACCTTACGAAAGGAAAGAAAAAAATATATCAGTGTTTTGAAGGGAAAATATAAAGGAAGGTGCCACTTGTGATCTGTACAGCAAAAAATACATTCCCTTACCTGAGCATCCCATAGGCAAGAGTAGATCTAAGAGTTGTAGGTCCAAAATGTGTAATATTTCTGCGGTGGAGACTTTCCTCAGTCAATGCAATTCCCACGATGATTTCATTATCATGGATATTCAAGAGAACCTATAATTAAGTTAGGTCAGAAGTAAGTTTCAAGCTTGTTCAAACTGTACTTTTATTAAGACTTTTTGGTGGCACTAGGGATTGAGGCCATACCACTGAGCTACACCTTCAGCGCTTCTTTATTTTAGACAGGGTTTGGATCTCAAACTCAAGGTCTCAAGCTGGCCTCAAACTTATGATTTTCATGCCTTAGCCTCCTGATTGGCTGGGATTACATCAATGTGCCATAGTCCCCAGTTTCTTATTACTGATACTTTGGAGGCTTTTATACTTTTTTCTTGAGGTATACTCTGCACACTGTAGAGTACATGAGTCTTTTTTTTTTTTTTTTAAATAGCTTTATTTTATGTATTTACTTCAACTTTGTGTGTGTGTGTGTGTGTTGCTAGGGACTGAACCCAGGGCCTTGTACATGCAAGGGTGAGCACTCTACCAACTGAGCTATATCCCCAGCCCTTAATTATTTATTTTTATGTGATGCTGAGGATCGAACTCAGTACCTCACACATGCTAGGCAAGTGCTCTACCACTGAGCCAAACCCCAGCCCCTACATGAGTCTTAAGTATACAGCTCAGTGAGTTTTTATTACCTATATATACACTACATAATTGCTACCCTGATACCCTGATGAAGATATAGAATATTTCTCACATCCTAGGAGAATCCCCTTGTCCCCTTCCTAGTCAATACTCACCACTACAAATTAGCTTCAGCAATTTTTAAATTTCACATAATATAGTATGTTGTGATTAATTTTAAAATTTATTTTAGTCTTTTCATTCTCTGTATTTATAAATTGACTATAACCAGATTTTCTCCCATTTTATAATGTTTATGAATTGTGAAGGCTTATCTTTTAAATATAAATTCCTAACTTTTTTGAAAAAAAAAATTCAAACATACAAACATACAGAAGTGCTACAAGACCACTAGCATAATGAACTCCTAATTATTCTTCACCCAGATTAACAGTGTAACATTTGCTTTATAATCTATTGTTTTCTTAGTATTTTCAAAAATCTGACTCACTTAGCAATATGATCTCCAATGTACTATTTTTGCCATATGATTTCCTAACAAACTACAAATAAAAATGTTTCCCAATCTTTCACCTAAAATTTCCTCATTATAATCTTACCAATAACAGCAGCTGACACTCCTATGCGCAAGGCACTATTCTACATAATTTATCCTCATGACCTCATTTCATATTCACCCATTCAAGCTAGATAAGGAATCTGAGGCACAAAGATACCAGGTCACTAGCCCACAATCATATAGCAACTGAGTTGAAATTTAAACACAGGTAGCCTGGCTTCAGAATTTGTCCTCTGAGCTACCTTGCTGACTTTTGGACATCATTCTTTTAGTTATCCTATTCATTCTCATGCCAGCTTTATGGAGAATTGTTCTCTGACATGCAAAAAAAAAAACAAAAAACAAAGGCAGTAAGTGACTTGCCCCAGATTCAAATGTCCCAAAAGTAACAGAAATGACATCTTGGTAAAAATGTAAGCTGTTAGGGGCCTTTTAATTTGTCAGAGATTTTAAAAGCTGTAGTTCCTATTGCCCACATAAGAATTACCCACTGGGTAATTACAAAGAGACTAAGCATGCTAAAAAGAGGTATCAGGGTAGGGGAACCTAGCAGAATTTAAGAAAGGAGAGCTGGCTCTAGGATGAATGTTATTAGTCCTGATGTTCTGATTTGAGGTTGAGGTTTATTTTATTTATTTTTTTCTTTTTTTAAATAGCAAAACTCTACAACCAGACACAAAAAACACATTCTTAAAATTCTAGTTGACTTTTACAATCTGATAATCCACATGATGGAGGAAAAGCATTAGATCAGAAATTGGAAAACTTGAGTCTTGATAACTTCTTGCATCTAATGAACAATTAACATATACCAGGGTATTGCACCAAATACTTTAAATGCATTATCTTGTTTAACCTTCAGTGCAACCTTAAAGGTGTATTGGCTTTATATGAAACAAGCTCAATCTCGTCCAATTTTATATAACTGTAGAGTCAAAATCTGGATCTAGATCTATGGTTCTCCACAGCACATACTGTTTGTAACCACATCCTCCCTGCCTAATTGCCCCTGATACTAGTTTGTCTACAAATCTACAAAAATCTTCTTGAATCAGAGCCAGCACCTACCTCCACGTCAAAGTTGGTCATATCAGCCTTCCACTTAAAATAATCTTGAACAGCACCCCCAAAATCTCTTGCAGCCTCATTTGAGGTAAAGCAATGTTTCTCTCCTGCCCTGTTGCATGTGACTCTAAACTTTAGTGTTTGAAGCTCAGTTTCTTCTTTTGAGCCTTCATCGATCTCATCTTTGCATGATGCCAAGTCATCACCTACTAATGTTGATACCTCCTCTTTGATGGCTGGATTTTCATAATAGTCTAAGATGTGTGAATCTAAATCATTGTTGGTGAATTCTTTAACATCTCTCTCATCTAATTTGTCTCCTTGTCCATTATCAATCTTCCCTTTACTGGAATTTTGATTTATCTTCTTGCGTTTTGTTTTTTTTTTCTTGAAACTGGTGTTCATTTTCCATACTTTTAAAGGATCTGACCATGGGAGTTTTCCAGCCAAGTCTTCAAAATCCTTTAAAACTTCTTCCTATAAATGACAAAAATGAAACCCACTCATTTCTCTCAGAAAATAATGACTTCAATTAAGCAAATTCAAATCTCAATGACAAGGAAACATACATATTAAGCCACTGAAGGGTAGCCTAAGACAAAATGCTAGATCAGAAGCAGGATTTTAAGGTAAAAATTTTCTTTCTTTTTTTTAATTTTAAAATTTTCTTTAAAATACTTTTTTATTTGTCAATGGATCTTTATTTTATTTACTTATTTATATGTGGTGCTGAAAATTGAACCCAGTTCCTCACACATGCCAGGCAAGTACTCTACTACTGAGCCACAATCCTGTGGCTAAAATTTAAGCAGTAAGAAACTATTAAAATTTAAGCTGTGAGAAATTATCTCTGAAGAGTAGAGGTAGGTAGATGAAGGGCAGGGGAGGGATGACACTTATCTTCTTCTTCCTTTTGGAATTTTTGAATTTTAGGTTGTATTATGTATTTACTTTAAAAAACAAAATTTTTTTAAAGGAAAAAAAAACTTATGTGGTTAAAAAATGTTCTAATTTTTAAATAGAGTCAACTTTTTAAACAGTCTAGCAATACCCCTTTCTTATTTAAAGCCCTTCAACAGCTTTCCACTGAAAGAAAATCTAAATTTGTCACAAAGCTCAACTTACTCTGACTTCTGTCTATTTCTCTTACAACGTTTCAGGTCTAACTCTCTCTCCCTACCTCTGCTTGGAAGATATTTGCTTTGCATGGTCTCTTTGCATTGTAGACCCCTTTCTCATTACTTAAACTTAAAAGGCACATCCTGAGAGACCTGCTCCATTTAAAGAAGTCCTTACAAGTCATTCTCTTACTGTTTTATTTTCTTGCAGTGCTGAGCACTGTAAAGATTACTAGGATTATGTACTGCTCACCATTAAGGCTCCTCCCAGAATGTAAGTACATGGTGGAAAGAACTTTATCTATCTTGACCTCTGCTATAAGTCACACACCTAGAACAGTTCTGGTGGTCAATAAACAGCTGTTAAATTATATGTGATTAAAAGTTAAAATGGGAAGTATACAGTAATGCTGTTCAATAGGGCAGCCACTAGTCACATGTAGCTACTGAAATTTAAATGATTTAAACTTAACAGAAAATTAAACAGTTCTTCCATTACTTTAGCCACATTATACACACTAACATCTAGTGGTTAGCATGTTGGACACAAACATATAAAACATTTCCATCAGAAAGTTCTATTACACAGCACAGATATTAATAATTATAATATTAATTAATGGGTTTTTTTGTTGTTGTTGTTGTTGTTTTATATGAGAGGGAACCCAGGGATGCTTAACCACTGAAACAAATCCCCAATTCTTTTTCATTTTTATTTTGAAATAGTGTCTTGCTAAGTCTCCTAGGGCTTCACTAAATTGCTAAGGCTGGCCTTGAATTTGTGATCCTCCTATCTCAGCCTCTCCAGTCACTAAGATCACAGGCGTGTGCCACTGCATCTCGTACAGTATATGTTACAAAGATCAAAGTAGAAAGAAATCATTGCTGACCAACAGAACTGTGATTTGGCAAAACTTGAAACCTGCTGACACAATATCAAACTTCAGGGTTAGCAAAGTCAATTCTACTTACAAATAACTTTCTTCTTTTTTAAAAAATATTTGTAGTTATAAATGGACACAACACCTTTCTTTATTTTTTATGTGGTGCTGACAATTAAACTGGGCGCCTCATACGTGTTAGGCAAGAACACTACCACTGAGCCACAGTCTCAGCCCCAAATAACTTTCTTATTATAATGGGCCTCTAGAGGACTGGTTGGTTTAACATGGTGTCATAGAATCTTTAGGAACTTTAGAAACTGTTTTAAAAGAAAAAGCAAATATAACTCTTATCTTTTTTTTAATATATATATATTTTTAGGTGTAGATGGACACAACACAATGCCTTTATTTTTATGTGGTGCTGAGGATCGAACCAAGGTCCCACCCGTGCTAGGCGAGTGTTCTACCACTGAGCCACAATCCCAGCCCCTGTAACTCTTATCTGAATTGAATCAATGCAGTATTTATAACCTTGAACTAAATAAAACACAAGGATTTTTAAGGGCAGTAAAGGTGAAACAGAATGTACAGGAAGACATGGAGAGTGAGGAGGTCTACAGATCTCAGACAAAGGGTAAAGCACAGTCTACAAAGCAGGTAGCAAACAAATTTTGTTTGAAATAACTGGAAAGAAGGACATGGGAGCTTTACTGAACTCCGTTTGTACCAAGAAATAGCAGGGGAGAAAAATGTTAGCTGAACAAAGATCTCACAGACATGCTATAATTGCTGGAATCAGTCTGTTGATAAGGTAGAGCCAGGGAGATCTTGCACATACCAAACTCTACAGTTTGTAAAATGGCACAAAATTAGCACATAACCTATGTATATCTATTGTACACTTTAAAGTCATGTCTAGCTTACTTGTAATACCTAATAAAATATAAATAGTTGGTAAATAGTTGTTATCAGTAAAGAACCCAACATTTTTCAAATATTTTCAACCTATAGTTGATTGAATCAAACTGGATATACAGAGGGCAATTGTGCTGTGCTTTATGAATAACCCTGCTGATCCCTTGAGGTTAAGGAGAAGTAAGGTTTAAAAGCTTATTCAATGGAATGGAAATTATACCTCAATAAAGCCATACTCTTTTTTTTTTTTTTTAAAGGAAGAGGAAGAAGAAGAAAATAACTCATTTACCCATAATTATGTGTCTGACAAGAAAGATTTCCCTCTGGCCTGGAACACCTACATGGCTTCTCCCACCACAAGAACATTTTACACATAGCAGGTCCAAGAGGAACTCCCTCACTAAAAGATAAGCAATTATCAAAACCTGTCAGCACAGGACTTATATGAAAGTAATAAAAGGAAAAAAGAGGAAACATGAACAGGAAACAAACAGCAGTCAAAAAGCAGTAATGCCAGAGAGCAGATAAAACTGATCAAACACAATGACATTACAATTATAATGCACAAATAAAAAATGTGGAAAAAAAACCAATGACATCAAAAACATGAAATGAGGAAATACCTTTGTAAATATGAGCTCAAAACAGAGATATAAAAGCAGAAAGAAAACGAGGAGGGCCACCATAAGAAAATGGAACTCAAAGAAAATACTTAAAAGTGGAATAGAAAAAATAAAACTAGCACAGACCATACTGACAGTAACACATGTACGATAACACTGAATGGGGCTGGGGTTGTGGCTCAGTGGTAGAATGCTCGCCTGGCACGGGCAAGGCCCTGGGTTCCATAAAAATAAATTAATTAATTAACGATATTGTATCCAACTACAACTAAAAAATAAATATTTAAGAAACAGAAAAGATACCACTGAAAACACAGTAAAGAGTGTGGAGGAAAGCAAAGCAAATTAAATGACAATGAGCAAAAAAGTTAAAAAGAATTAGATAGAAAATGATAAATATAAAATAGAGTCAAAAGAGATCCCACATATGTATAACTGGTTTCCCTAAAAAAGGGATTTAAAATGATAAAACAAAAAATATTCAATTAATCAAGAAAACGTTCCAGAAATGTAAATGGATTAATGTATCCTGATAAGGAACTGTCAACAATGAAACACACTCCAATAACTTATTAGACTTTGAAGCTACCAAAAAAAAAAAAAAAAAAAAAAATCTGGCCTTCAAGGAGCAAAGATACAGTATACTATGCTTCTATTTGTGTAAATAAGTAAATGAGGGCTGGGGATATAGTTCAGTCCATAGAGTGCTTGCTTTGCGTGCACAAGGCCCTGGGTTCAATCCCCAGCACCACACACACACAAAAAGTAAATTAAACACATATCCATAAAACAACACAAGAAATTGGTAACAGTGTTTTTTAAATTAAAAAAAAATTTTTTTTTGGTACTGGGGATTGAGCCCAGGAGCACTTAACCACTGAGCCACACCTCCAACCCTTTTTTGTATTTTATTTTAAGACAGGGTCTCACTGAGTTGCTTAGCACCTCACTAAATTGCTGAGGTTGACTTTGAACTCGAGATCCTCCTGCCTCAGCCTCTCAAGCTACTGGGATTACAGGCGTGTGCCACCGTGCCCAGCTGGTAACAGTTTTTCCTGAATGATCCACTGAAACATTTAATGCTAGAAGAGAATAAGCATAATAGTTTTTTTTAATGTTTATTTTCTAGTTTTTAGGTAGACACAATATCTTTATTTTACATTTATGTGGTGCTGAGGATCGAACCCAGTGCCTCATGCATGCTAGGCAAGCACTCTACCACTGAGCCACAACCCCACCCCTGACCATAATATTTTTAAGGAAAAAAATTCCAAATTTTATAACCAAACTATTAACCAAATATAAAGGTCAAAGACAAACATTTCTGACTTCATGCATGCATTCAAAAGATAAAAAAGAAAAATATAACTAGGGTAGGAACGCACCTCTAATCTATTTAACTACAGTACTAAAAACAACCCCCCCAAAAATTGTGGGGTTTATAACTGTAAAACAGAAGGTAAACATTATAAATTGGCATGTGGTTGGAAGGGTTTTTGTGAAAGAAGATGAGAAATAATTTAAGCATGCTACTCTCCTCATCTCTAAGGTTAAAGAACAGAAGTTAGACTTGATAAATAAAATATATTTAAAGGCATAAAGGTCAATACTAAGAAAAATAATAAAGTTGAAAGGTAGAGGGAAGAGAAAAATAATCAATTTCATCTTTGCTCTTAGTAGGGAATAAAAAAAAAAACACATGAAAATTAGTAGATTAAGTACAAAATATCAAGTTGACTTTATAAAAGTAATGGCCTGAACCAGACAGGAATATTGTAAACTATTAGAAAACACATGCATGATAGAAACAAAACAAAAACAAGTTGCTCAAGAAAGGAATCAAGGGCTGGGGATATGGCTCAAGCGGTAGTGCGCTTGCCTGGCATGCTTGCGGCCCGGGTTCGATCCTCAGCACCACATACAAAGATGTTGTGTCCGCCGAAAACTAAAAAATAAATATTAAAAAATTCTCTCTCTCTTAAAAAAAAAAAAAAAAAAAAAGAAAAGAATCAAAATAAAGAACCTGAGTACATTAAAAAAAAAAAAAGTGCATAAAGAGATTTTTTAAAAATAGAAAGCAAAATGTATAATGTAAATGTGACAAAACCACAGCCAAACAGTATGTATGCTATGCTTCCATTTGAGTAAATAAGTAAATGAAATACATATATCCATAAAATATCTCTAGAGGAATACCCAAGAAATTGGTGATAGCAGTTGCCTACTGTGAGGAAACTTCATGGCATGGGGATAAAGGGACAAAGACTTTCCACTGAAATCCTTTCAGTCTTTATACAAGTGCATTCTAAGTATATGTATTAACTAGTTGTTAAAAACTCATATAAGGGCGGGCGCAGTGGTGCATGCTTATAATCCCAGTGACTCAGGAGGCTTAGGCAAGAGGATCATGAGTTCAAAGCTGGCCCCAGCAACAACCAGGCACTAAGCAACTTAGCAAGACCTTGTTTCTAAATAAAATACAAAATAGGGGTGGGGATGAGGCTCCGTGGTCAAGAGCCCCTAAATTCAATCCCTGGTTAGCACTCCCCCGCAAAAAACAACTCATATAAATCATAGACTTGCTCCTCTCAAAAAAAAAAAAAAAAAAAAAGAGAGGGAGGGGCTGAGGTTGTAGCTTAGTGTGTGAAGCCCTGGGTTTGTTCCTTAGCACTGCATAAAAATATATAAAATACAGATATTGTGTCCATCTACAACAAAAAAAAAAACATTTTTTTTAAAAAGGGAGGAACTAATAAATTCATGATATCTGAATAATTAGAGAACTCATGATTAAACTAACAGGCTTTTTTTTTATAAGATAAGGGAAAGTATAATGACACACACACACCTGTAATCCCAGCTACTTGGGAGGATGAGACAGGAGGTTCAAAAATTGGAAGCCAACCTAAGCAATTCATTAAGACACAGTCTGAAAATAAAATGAAAACAGCTAGGGATACAGTTCAGAGGTAGAGTGCTCACCTAGCATGTGTGAGGCCCAGTGTTTTGTCCCCAATACTGCAAAGTCTTCAAAAAGAAAAAGCTCAATCGTCAATAGCATGAAAGCTAGAAGCACATGTTTAAAAATGAGGTTTTACCCGGGTATGTTGTGACTGAAGTTCACAAAATGAAGGGCTTGATAATATTTCATGGTCAGACACAGAAGTTTCTTTTGCACACCTCCGAAAATCTGCCTTCATCCTTACTGCTGTTCCTTGGAGACTTCTACCAGGAACCTTTTCTGCAGTTACTTACAAGGCAACTCTGAAAAGCTAACTCATGTAGAATATTCCATAATTATCAAATTCACCTCCACTTAGAGATCCAAATTGCCCAGAGCGATACCAATTTTAGGATGCAAAAATGCAGGAATTTAAGGATTTCTTTTAAATTATTATTTAATAATGCCTTAGTTAAGTTATGTGGAAACATAGATTTTCAAAAATGCCTATTTAAGGTTGGGGATTTAGCTCAGTGGAAGAATGCTTGTCTAGCACGCATAAGGCCTTCGGTTCAATACCCAGTTACTGCACTAAAAAATAAATTAAAAAAAAAAAAGCCAAAAAACAAAAACCACCTGATAACATGTATGTATGTATAGTATTGACTATCAAAATTTCAAAATACTTAGCAGCAAAAATTGTCTATAGATTGTCTGTTATCCATTAGTTTCATAGGTATGATTCAATTAGCAATAACTAACCAAAGTCTGAAGGTTACTAGGGTTGAATGTACATTCGTAGTTAATAAACTTTTAATCTGTTTTTCAGTGTGAATTCTTTAAGGTCTAGTTTTATTTTTTTTCTAGACTATATGTTCATATCAGTGTGACTGGTTTTTAAGCAGCATATCCCAGTTGGGTTTTTTTTTTTTTGGTAGGGGGTGAAGCGGGGGTACCAGGGATTGAAATTAGGGGCACTCGACCACTGAGCCACATTTCCAGCCCTATTTTGTATTTTATTTAGAGACAAGGTCTCACCAAGTTGCTTAGCGCCTGGCTTTTGCTGAGGTTGGCTTTGGAACTTGTGACCCTCCTGCCTCAGCCTCTTGAGCTGCTGGGAGCCACCATGCCCGACCCTCCCAGTTGGGTTTTGTTGTTGTTAGTTTTGTGTAGTACTAAGGATTGATCATAGGGTGCTTTACTACTAAGCTGTATCACCAGACTTTGTATTTTTAATTTTGAGACAGTTGTTGAGACACTAAATTGTCTAGGCTAGTCTCAAACTTGTGATCTTGCTGCCTTAGCCTCTCTAGTGGCTGAGATTACAGTTGTACAGCACAGTACCTGACTCACAGCTGTTTTAAGAAAGAATAATTCTAAGACATGGAATAACATTGATAAAAAAAAAAAAAAAAGTATTTAAGCATCTGACTCTAGAAACCTGACCAAAAATGAATGTGGAAAAAATCTAAAGCTGTACTGCAATCTATTTTCAACCTTCAGCTTAAGCAGCAGCTGAATATTTAGGACTCAGATGCTAAATACATGTTGAAGACAAGGCTGTTGTCTTAACAACTGAAGGAGTGTTTAAATATTACTTTGATTTTATTTTAAGAAATGAAGTTAGAGAAAAAAACAGGGAAAAAACAGAATAGTGAGGAAGTGTTATTTGTAGATGGCACAAACTATCACTTGTTCTTTAGTTCTCACTGTGGAACCAATTTTATTTTGGAAATGAGTGTGTGTATGTGTTAGCAAAGCTCATTTAAAGTTTACATCTTGGGTAAGTCAAATAATTTTTCAATACTAATTTTTTTTTAATTTTGTACCAGGGGATTGAACTCAGGATCTCTTGATCACTGAGCCACATCCCCAGTCCTATTTTATATTTTATTTAGAGAAAGGGTCTCACTGAGTTGCTTAGCTCTTGGCTGTTGCTGAGGCTAGCTTTGAACTCAAGATCCTCCTGCCTCAGCCTCCCGAGCTGCTGGGATTATAGGCCTATGCCATGTGTACCACCGCACCCAGCCTCAATACTGATTTTTAAAAGCAAACTTTGAGATGGACTGTCAGTAAATCTCTGAATTCTTGCTATAAAAGAAAGTCTGACTATTTATTATAAAAGTAGGGGTGGGAGTAGAGATCAATGATACAGCATGTGCTTAGCATGTGAAATGACCTGGATTCAATTATCAGTACTAGAAAAATAAAATAAAAACAAAGAGCAATGGTAATATTAAACGACAGACAGACTGTGAAAAAGTAGAAATAATGTCTTTTAGGAAGATGGAAAAAATCAGTTATCATGTTTAGGATAGCTTACCTTTGTATTTTTGAACTGGTAATCTGGAAATTCSTGAACAACCACAAATAAATTATCAACTGATCTCAGACAATGAACCTGGGGAGAAAAAAACTGTTAGAAACTAATTTCTGAAAAAGCTTTTGAGTAACACAAGCTATCAACAATTAAATATTTTAAAAATTAGAACAATGGTTTTAAAGCACTTGATATCTACATATATTTTTTTAAATATTTTTTTAGTTGTAAATGGACACAATACCTTTATTTTATTTGTTTATTTTTATATGGTGCGGGGGATCGAACCCAGTGCCTCATGTATGCTAGGTAAGTGCTCTACCACTGAGTCACAATCCCATCCTGATATCTATATTTTTTATTTAAAAAATGCCCTATCTTTTAGTCTTCCATCTGTTCAGTTACCTACCAGTTTCTGCTTTTCCTTGGAGAAAGAGAAGGACAGATCAAATGATAGAAGCTTGAATTGTTATGTGGGCAACATGAATTTTGGGGAAAAAGGAAAAATGAAGAAAATCAAGTGAAGCTTTACATCTTTCCCTCATGGCTCTCTATGGTGATACCATGTACTACGGTCACTAAGAGCATGGATCTAAGCTCCAGCTCAGCAATGACCAGTTGAATGTGGGTCAGGTACTCAGTCTTCGTAAGCTTAATCATGAAGTCAACTACAGTACCTACCTTCATGAAGCTGTTGAGGGTATTAACTAAAATTTAGATGTAAAAATTCTTGATTGCCAATTCATCCCACAAATATTTCCAGGGTGCCTACTATATACCAGGCACTTAGTGCTTGGGATATACTGGCAAAAAAAAAAAACAGATAACAACTCATGCCCTCATGTTGCTTGTGTAGTAATGAAATGTATCATGGCTTTTGTTACAGTAGGTGAGTAATTTGCTGATTTTCACTTCAGTGTAGTGATTCTTAATTACTTTTGAGCAAAAACATCTTTGACACAGGTTGAAGGAAAACCTCTGCTTTTATGCTTTATCACCAAATTATAAATCTCAACTAGATGCTGAGATAAATAAAAAAAAGTATAGCCGCTATTCAGAATTTCTTCCTAAGTTCCATAGGATTCTTTTCAGTGAATTCAACCAGCTCAAACTGCTGCTGTCACTTCTAAAATATAGCAAACTGAAATATATTTATGAAATGAATTTTATAAATATATAGAATACAATAAAAACAAAGTGAGACTTTTACAAATCAGTACCAAACAGAAAATGCAGTGATATTTTGAAATCACCTAATCTAGGAAAGTGCAAAGAAGAGCAGGGGTCTATAGTAAATAAGCATAAAATGATCAATTTAGATAACTATTTTATATTCTGCTTCATTCAAACCTGAGCCAGACTTTCCACTGGAATGTCAAAGTATATCTTGCCCCGGTCTTTGCTGATTTTGCATGGTGACCTCAATTTCTCTCTCACTTCTTCTGCAGCTGTTTGTTCAAAGCCAGTAGGAACAGTGGCTCCAATAGTGACATGGAGATTCTTGGACTCACTTCTGATGCTACTTTCTGTCACTGGTACAGATCTCTGGTTGTCATGAAGGTTCACATCCAGGAGCTGGTTAGTAGCTTCTTGAATGTCAGACATGTCAGCAATGACTCCAAGGTCACTAATACAATCCCTTTAAAAGCAGTACAGAAAAAGAAATAAAGCCCAAACATAAATCACCTCATATTTCAATTATAATAAAAAACATCTGTTTTGGGGGCAGGAACAAGGCAACATAACCAATACAGCCATATTCAGTCAATGCATAGATTAAGTATTCACCAAAGTTAAAACAGTAGAATATATAATGGCATAATGTACAGGTTGTAAAACATGCTATCATTATTAAACAAGCAATACAGGAACCATGGAAGAAAAGGAGACAGATAAGTATTTCACAGCATTCAATGTTTAGTCTGGGGTTATCTATGATGATTAAAGTCATCTCATAACTATAATAGTTAACAAAAGAAATAGAGGCTGCTACAGCACATCGAAATATATTTTTATATCTTGTCCTTTGTTTTATTCATTTATGTATTGGTACTGGAGGACTGAACCTAGAGGTGCTTAACCACTGAGACACATCCCCAACCTTTTTTWAAAAAATATTTTTTAAGTTGTAGATGGACACAGTTTCTTTTTTATTATCATATAGTGTTGAGGATTAAACCCAGTGCCTCACGCATGCAAGGCAAGTGCTCTACCCTTGAGCTACACCTCAGCCCATCCCCAATCCTTCTTATTTTTTATTTTGAGACAGGGTCTCACTAAGTTGCTTGGGACCTCACTAAATTGCTGAGACTGACCCTGAACTTGAAATCCTCCTGCCTCAGCCTTCTGAGTTGCTGGGATTACAGGCATGCACCACCACACCTGGCTCAATCTTGTCCTTTTAGCTAGCAATTAAGAACACAGGGCTTTGAAGTTTCAGATAGACATGGTTTGAATTCTTGCCTCTTCCATTCATAGGAGGAATGACCTAAAGCAAGTTAATTATCCCAAGCTCATGAGAATTAAATAAATCTCTCTCCTAAGTTGTTGGGAGATTTAAGTGAGAGTAGCAGTTTAAGGTCAATGATTAAAACTTATTAATGAGTTACCTATCATCCTCCCTCTTGTGAAGTATACGGTGACCCATGAATTTAAAAGAATAACTGAACACTTACTAATAACATTAAATATTTGAAAGCCTACCACATGCCTGACTCTGGGATCCACGGATAGACAGATCTCTGAAATATCTGAAAAAGTAAACCAAATTTACTGTACTTGAGCATGGGTGTATGCTAAGAGGGCGAGGGAGGAGTTAAGATGAGGGATCGATATCTCTCATCAGATTTTCAAAGGGTTTATGACTCAAAACAACTTAATCTGTCAAGAGTATCTAGGCTTTGTGCTGTGCCAAGGATAGGCGATAGTGTTGAACGCTAGCAAGTCAGTTCCTGCTCTTAAAGAAGTATTACTGTGAATAGGATCTGCATCTTCTACATAAAAGACAGTTGAAACCAGCGAGAAGACGTGTCCTGTCAAAGGTCAGAGCGCGCTAACCAGTGGCGCAGACTGGAGCAGAACCCACGTCTCTCTACTCCCACCCGTTGGGCCCACGGACGCGAGTCCCGCGGAAGGGTGAAGGCCAGGCAGAAGCAGTAAGATGRGATCTGCCAAGACACAGGACTGAAGTCCCACCCCCGCTAAGACGACAGCTGGTTCTCCCTCCCTCCCGAGGCTGCAGAGCCACTTCCACCCGCCGCCCGGTTACCGGCCGCTTGTACAGACCCTTCCGGCTCCGTCACCCTGCGGGACCTGCGCTCAGGTCACGCCGCCGGAAGTCGCCTCACCTCCTCCGGAAACGGAAGTCGGGCCGCGGGTCAAGGCGGTTCCACTAGSGGCGGGCGCCAGGACAAGGTCGTGGAGAAACGGGCTTGCGTAGAAAACTCTATGCGACTGAGGACGAGATATTCCGCAAACTATGTGGGAAGAGCTAAGGGCTTTGTCGCTTGTCAGAGCAGTAGGTAGCGTTYGTGGAGTTCTTCGTTGTGCTAACGCTGCATTATCGTTTCACATGCGCCATCTCTTCAGTTTCAACCACTGTGAAGTGTGTSGGCCGCTCCCGTTTTAAAGCCAGAGAAACTGAGTCTCAAAGGAGTTAAATATCTTTCTTCCCCTCAAAAAATGCCACTCGCAACAATTTAGAGATGGAGCTAGGACTTGAACCCAGAGAGTGTGACTCTAGAATTCTTGCTCTTAATCTCTTAGCAAGTATTGCTCAAACTAGTTCCTGATTTCTGTATCGCCTTAACTGTTTTTACAGTGAAGGTATTGTTTAACATTTTTTAAAAAGTTAGCTCGTTTTCTTTTTTAAGAATTTAACCTTTATTTTTTTTAAATTTTTTTAAAATTTGTTTTAGTTTTAGATGAACACATACATTCATTTATTTATTTATCTTTATGTTGCGCTGAGGATTGAACCCAGTGCCTCACCCTTGCTAGCCAAGCACTCTACCACTRAGCTACAATTCCCTCCCAAAAGTTAGCTTATTTTCAAAGGAAATTTTCACTCCACAACAACAAAACCCAATTAAAAACTGGACAAAGACTTGTATTAGATGTTTTTCAAAGATACACAAATGGCCAATAAGTATATGAAGAAATGCTCAACGTTGCTAGTTATTAGGGAAACACAAATAAACAATGTAATACCGGATGGAAGGCTAAAACTGAAAAACAAAAACTGGACAACCCAACTTCTAGTGAGGATATGGAGCAATGGAGGAACACAGATTGCTGGTGGGAATGCAAAATGTTTTCACCACACTAGGAATCAGTTAAGATTTTTGACAAAAAATTTAAACTTGGTGCAGTAATACAAGCCTGTTATTCCCAGTGACTAGGAAGGCTGAGMYAGGAGAATGCAAGTTCAAGGTCAATCTCAACAACTTAGCAAGACTCAACAACTTAGTGAAACCCTGTCTCAAACTAAAAAATAGAAAAGAATTGGGGGTGTAATTTGGTGGCAAAGCACAAGAGGACTAGAAACAGATGTTCAAGCAAAAACTTGCATACAAATAGACCCATTAGCTTTATGCATGCAGCCAAAAAGTGGAAACAGTGAATATATACATGAACTGATGAATGGACAAATGTACACTCACATAGTTAAATATTATTTAGTCAAAAGAAAGGTTAAAATACAGGTACACGCCACAGCGAAATGCACCTTGGAAACATTACACATTAAATAAAAGAAGCCATATTCTAAAGACCACATTCATAATTTCATTTATATGAAATGTACAGAATAGGCAAATAAAGGAGATAGAAAGCAGATTAGTGGTTGCTTAGGGTTGAGGGCATTTGAGCTAAAGAGTATGGAGTTTTCTTTGAGATGATGAGAATATTGTGGAATTAGATAGTAGTGATGGTTGAATATCATTGTGAATATTAAGAAATACTGAAGTTTATACTTTAAAATATTAAAAATAGCACATTTATGTTATGTGAATTTTATTTCAACATATGAAAGAGGAAACTTGGGTGTTAGGGAACACTTACCATCAGTTTTCCTCATCTGCAAAATGATACTTCCACCCTAGAATTGTTGGGAGTTTCAAATGAGATTAACACATTTTTAAGCACATATTTAAAATAGATGGTACCATTAAAAATAAATAAAATGAAAACAAAAGGGTTATTAAATTCTGACCAGATACTGTTCTTGCAAAAGACTCTTAGTAGGCTCTAAAATTTAAAACCTATTCTCTATTTTTTAAAGATAAATTATTAAGCTCCGAATAGTCACACACACCTGTAATCACAGCTACTTGGAAGAATGAGGCAGGAGGATTGTAAGTTTGAGGCCATCTGGGAAATAAAGTGAAACTCTATCAAAGTAAGACATTTTTAAAAAGGGCCGGGATGTAGCTCATTGATAGAGTACCCCTGGGTTCAGTCCCCATTACCATGCCCCCCAAAAAAGATAAATCATCAAGCTAGCATTAAATGAGAGAACTTTTTGACATACTGAGGGGTTAAAACATTGAAAATATTCTCTTGACCTGATTCAGTGTTAGTTAATGCATATCTTTATACTATCTAAAATCATGTCCTACAAACAAGTCTCAAACTTGGGGAAATGTTGCATTAAGGCACAGTATCCACCATTAGTATTACTTTGGGACTGTCATTTAATCAACAAAATTTGTTGAGGATCTATTATGTTTTAGGCACAGGGGATAAGCAATGAAAAAAAGAAGTCACTAAGTGTCTGAACTCCTAGAGCTTATATTCTAATGAAAAAGACAGTACAGTAAACATGTATGTTTCTGTGATAAAGTTTTAAGGAGGAAAACTAAGCAAGGTCATGATGGAGGTAGAGTGCTGAAGAGAAGGACAAGAATGCCAGTTTTCTGACAGGAGGTCAGCAAAAACCTTTTTGATAAGTTGACAAAGTTAAGCCTGAAAGAAATGAGAGAGTGAACCATTTACATATCTGGGAGAAGAATACTCCAGGCCAAGGGAAGCAACATGCTCTACAAAGTCTAGTAATAAGCCAAGAGGTCAATAAGTCTGGGAAGGTAGAAGATGAAATGAAGTGAGTACCTCAGATAGGCCAATGTTTTACAAATTATCATAATGCTTTACAATTAAAAAGGATCACTCTGGCTCCTGCCTAAAGAATGGCTTGAGACTGGGTTTTAAACAGTTGTTAGGCTATTTCAGTGGTCCAAATGAGAAATGATRATGGCTTAAACTAGAATATTAGGGTTGGGTGTGATGAAAATTGTCAAATGCTGGTGTATTTTGAAGGATTAGCTGGTCATTGCTAATGGATTGAAGGGGGGGKTTGAAAAGAAGATAAAAACGGGAAGTTTGAGGATCACACCTCGAAGATTTGCTGGTCTAGAGTGCTCAGGTTGTTGCATGCTAAAGAACTTGGGCCAAAATACCACAAAGGCATTATAAATGGACATATTTGCTCTTTAGGGTTTATTGCAAAGCACAGTAGTATTTTAGTTTAAATCAGAAAGACCAAAACGATCTGTTGTGAAAATATTGACTAAAATGGATCTTTAGTTAAAGAAAAATGCTGGGTTTTGACAAATTTCATAACACAGGTGTGGAAATGGAAACCTCTAATTTCTTTCTAACTCACAGTAGTGGTTACATAAAGGTGAAGTGACCCCCAAGGAAACAAATGTTTAAATATCATAGTTTGTATTGACACAAATGAAAAACTCAGTGAAAGCTATTCCCAAGGACCTAGACATCAATTTTACACTGATATCTATCTATTCTATTATTGCCTTTTTTTGGTGTGTGTGTTGCTGCTGGGGATTGAAGCCAAGGCCTCAGACATGTTGTGCTCTGTGTTGAGCTATACACCCAGCCCAGCCCTTTCTTAAGATTTAAAAAAAAAAAAAAAAAAACACATGGTTTAAAAAGTCACAGTGTGGAGCTGAAGTTGTAGCTCAGTGGTATAGTGCTTGCCTAGCATGGGTGAGGCCCTGGTTTGATCCTCAGCACCACATAAAACAAAAAAAATAAAGGTTAAATTCTTAAAACAAAGGAGAAGGAGGAGGAGGAGGAGGAGGAGGAGGAGGAGGAAGAAAAAGAAGTCCTCACATTGTACAGCCATTTCCTTGCCCAGATCCATCCTCCTTCTCCAGAAACAAGGACAGTTAGCCTTTTGCTTTTAGTTCATTTGGTGATCACCTCCCTGTCTTCAAATAACATACTTGAGGTACTATTTCTGGTTCTTTCAATTTTAGTTATTCTCTATGGACTCTGTTATATACTTAAGGTTTAGCCTACTAACTTTGCTGCTTTCTATCTCCCCCTTCCTTCTTCTGCCATTATAGTTAAATCCCAATACAGGTTGTTCCTCTACTTTAAATTTATATGTGTAAGTGATAGGTTAAACAACTTGTTCTGTCGACCTCAGACAGCATCTCTTGGTCCTCCACAGTATATGGTAAGGGTTTTATTAGCACTCTTGGCCTTTCCTCTACCTCTCCTCCTTTCTTTGTACTTTTCAGTCCATTTTGTTAGAGGAGCCCACTTGGCAGGCTGGATTCCTGTGGGGATGTAATTGGAAGAAGGGATGCCACTACACCTGCTTCTCTTTCAATAAGCTACTGAAATTCCATCTCCCTGCCCCATCCCCCCAACCCTTTTGGGACCTCATTGAGAAATGAGAGATGTGTCCACAATCCTATTAATGATATGATAGCCTAAGAGCCCATGAACCTTTAACCCAAAAGACCTTTGTCCTGTGGGTTGTTAACAACTAGAGGGTAAAACAATCAGCTTTGGCCGTGCCCTAAACAAGTCCTGGTATTTACTTTTCCCATGCCCTTTTAAGCCAATGGCTGTAAAAACTTCAGTAATATAACCTCTGTGAGAGCTCAAGTTGTAATTAGTGACATTACAGTGAGTTTTAAAGAAAATGTCTGAAATTTATTGGTTCTTTCTGAACTGCATATTGATAAATACGTTGATTTTTTTAAAAAGCAACTCATTCATTTTGAATGGAATTATATTTTTGCAGTAATTGAAATCACAACTCAGGAAAAGAAAATGAGCTGGTAGTGAAACACCCCTGCCACCTAGTGGTTACTTATGCTGAAGCATGTGGTTCTTTCAAAGCACAGAAAGCATGAACGGAATTGCATTAGTATAGGTGACAAATCTAGCCAATGTCCTGAACCTGGGAAATTTTCATTCCCTTCTCCCTTTGTGTAATCAGAAG